AAAATAATAAGGGCAACATCAACGGTAGCCATATTTTTAGTAACAATTACCCAGCACATATTAACAACAAATGAATATAACATCATTATAACCATAAGGGAATAAAATACTCTGATATCAAAAAGCGTATTTTTGATACAGCCAAACGTTATATCTTAAGGAGATTTAGGAAATTTTGTGAATATAAAATATTAGTTAATGAAATTAGAGCAGAGGTAAGTAACTGAGAGTAGAATAGAAAAGGGAAAAGATAAAGTGCAGTATAAAACATCTCATATAACCAACAGATATAACACTATAAATTAATATTCTAGAACAAATCAACCAAATGAAATTGAAAAAATGATTACCTAATTGAACGGACAACGGGTAGAACGATAGATCAAAGAAAGCAACGAAAATTACTGAGCAGCAGGGATAGAACGAAGATATTTAAAGAAGGCGATAAGATTAGTAAGAGATGAGTAGTGTTATTATGATCTTTAAAGACTGGAAAAACAGAGAGAACAGAATATGGTGGATGATAGTAGCTGAAAAACGTAGACAAAGAAAGAGTAAAAAGATAACATACAATATATATAGAAAAAGTTACCAGTGTCTTGCTTAATATCGAATACAAATCCCTGCAAACAGAAACCAATAAAAGTAATAATTCATTATTCAAATTAATATTAATAAACGAAAATTATACATATACTAAAAGCAGGACCAAAAAAAAAATATTAGTAAGAAATTATGAAATTATAAAAAAGATTTTTCTTTTTCCTCACTAATATAATAATCAAGTGGCAAATAATAAAAAAAAGGAATCAAAAAAGAAAAACCCGAACATAGATCTAAAATAAACAACCCAGTATTCAAAAAGGGGGAAAAAAAAAAAACACAGATCTGAAAAATAAAAACAAACGCATGGAATGAAAACCAAAATATTCAAGAAAAATAAAGTACGAAGATAACAAATAACGTAATCGAAGCAAAAAATACCATGCATGTACAACCGATGGGAAAAAATATAATATAAAACATCGACAAATAGAGATATACAAAAAAAAGGGAGATGCAGCCCTAATAAATCTAGCGAGGGGGAAAAAAAGTCTAGAGAGTTGCAGGAAGAAGATATTTAGGAAACGAAGAAATCTGACAAAAAACCTAGAAAAATAGACTAATCTAAAAGGTTGCAGAGGGGGAAAAAATAAATAGAAAAATATAGATTCAGAAACGGAAAAGATAAACATATATCTAGAAGATCATAGAAACGAACGAACCCAAAAGAAAATATAAGCATGTTTAATGTAGGTACGGAAGGATATAAGCAGATCTAGATCTGGCGAGGAGGAAAAAATCTAAGACTTTGCAAAAAGAACAAATATGACAAACGAAGAAATATGAACAAATATTTAGAAAAATAGAGAAATCTAAAGGGTTTCAGAAGAAAAAAACCAAAAGGGGAAAAAGTAGATCCAGAAACAAAGGAAGATAAACATAGATGTAGAAAATCATAGGAACAAACGAACCAAAAGAAAAAGATAACCGTAATCACTCTAAATATGTAAAAATAAAAACGGATCTAAAAGGTTGCAGAAGAAAACAAACGGAGAAAAGGGGGAAAAAGAAAAAATCCTCAATCTCAGTTAAAAAAAAAACGTCGAAGATTGCAAGAGCAAAGCAACGAAAAGCATAAATGACAACATAAAGAAATAATGAAAAAATGGCCGAAATCAACAAACAGAAAATAGGGAAAAAAACTCAGGCTCTGTCTCGACGAAGGAAGAATCAGAACATTACAGAAGGAAAGAAATGAAGGAGAAAGAGAGAGAAAAGGCTACAGATAAAAGTGAAAGAAAGCAAATGAATCAAGGGCAAACGAAATAAGCAGAAGCAACAGTAAATGACCAAAATGGTCACGGCAAACACGCACACAAAAATCTATAATGAAGGGTAATATCGTAATTTTACCTTCAGGACATGATGGTAATTAAAATTTCATCCGAAGAAAAAAGTGGGGTTAAAACGGGAAAGACACTGTTCATAGCACTGTAGCATGAACAGTGAATCCCGTTCTTTCTTTTAGTATATGTATAATGTTTTGAAGTTGACGTGGACTAATGCAGCCCAAGTGGGAGTATATGGTTGGACCGACTTCCGTGGTCTCCATATTAAGAAATGAAATTCTGTTTTATTGTTGTAATCTTTTCTGTTTCTTCTTCTTCTTGCCTAGAGAGAGAGACGGTATAGAGTGAGAATGGTGAGAGAAAAGGTGAATTTCTTGGGTATTTTTCTTGTTCAGTTTCTCAGGAAAGTGTTAGGCTGTGAGTTGATTGAAGTTTGTAACTTTTTTGTAAATAACTTTGTTCAGATAGTGCATATCGAATTTTCTTTGGGAAGTTCGCGGAGACGTAAGTGTAATTTCACCGAATTCTGAAATCAAATTGTTGTGTTCTTGCAGTTTTCTTTCTCTGTTTTGATTCTTAAGATCGAAGTCGGTGTTGGACTAATTTCCAACAGAGACATTCTTATAGTCAACTCAAATGTGGACTCCATAATTTAAATAATTCATATCTAACTTTGAAGTTGTGCAACCTCGTTCTTACTTTAACACAGAGTCAATACGCGGACCAATCTTGTAAAATTTAGTGAAAGTCGGTTAATTTTAGGAAGCCCTGGGATCAAGCTCATCGAAATTCCTAATGCCTATCTGATTTTTCGTTTAGCTTTTTGCATAATAAGCTACAAACTCATCGAAATCAATATTTTCTTGAAATTCCTACAATTTTTTTTCAACGAGGGTACCTAAAAATTTCAAAAATGTTTTATTGTGATAATAACTAAATGGATGATTATCATTTATGTATAGATCCAATTCGGTTTCAGTCTTGTTAATACGGATTGTTGGTGTGTTTATCTCTTCATTAAGAATACTTCGAAAATTCAAACTTACAAATTCCAATTGTCCTAGTTTTATTCACAAAAACAGTGGCACAATTCTAGAGTTATCATTACAGAAGTTATAGAGAGCTTAGAGGAAGGTTGAGAGAGACGTAAAATATGATTTCTCTTTAATCCCTTCGTCCCAATAAATTTTATCATCAACGGCCGAATATGGATGTAACTCTCATATTAAAAATGAATTATTATAAATTTCAATGACGAAGATAGGGTCCTAGACCATGGCCCCCTAGCTTTTTTCTTTCTTCTTTTTTTATTTTTCTTTTTTAATATAGTGGTTTTAGTTTTAATATAATAAGTATGTGTATAAATTAGACTTGACCAGCTTTAAATTAATAGTTCTATACATTTTATTGGGCTAACAAAACCTGTTACATATAATATACATGTTAGTATAATCTTAATAAAAAAAAAAATTTGACATCCCTACCAATAAATTCTGACTCCGTCACTGATAAATATTATGTGTTCTTAAATTTCTTATCTTCTACGATCTTATTAATCTCAGTAATATAGAGTTGAGGCCTCCAATTCTAAACACATAGACCTCAGCAAGGATTCAAATCACTCGAGATAATGACTACCACGGATAAAGGCTTACAATTTTGCCAAAGAATAATGATCATATAGCCATTCTGAATCTTATCTCTTTCCTTTCATAAATACATGCTTCAGTTTCATTATTCACACCTTACCTTTCATATCATCACATCTCTTTTTTAGCAATAAATTATTGACCACTTTACTTACTCAAGCGTTATTGTTATAATTTTACGATTTTAGGTGATCATTAGATTCGTGGCCTTGGCGCTGCCATTTATCAATGCGTCATAATAAGTTTGAATATGTGTATATGTGTATTTGAATAATATTTGCGTGAATTTTTCAATAATCCTTTTGCCTCATCCCTCTTAAAAGGGAATAAAAGCAAATTCGATTTTAACGTAATCACTTTTGTATTTGAATTATTCACACAATACAATACTCCTGCTCTATTATTCTTCTGATTGAACCTTTTTCTTTTTTCTTTTATTTTCTTTTCCCCCCAATCCTCGTAAACGAACACCGACCAAATTCCCCACCACAAAAAGATTCCAGCATTTTTCTTCTCTTTTATTGAAAGAAGAGTTTTCCCTTTCAAAATAAAATAAAAAAAAAGGAGGAAAGAAAAAGGAAAAGTTTCCCACTAGGCAAACAGATGCCTTGTCCCAAACTTTAGCGTGTTGAAATCACATGCTACACATACAAGAAGAAAAAGAAACAACAGAACCCAAACAATTCCTTCAATTGCTACTGTTTGACACGTAAATTCTAACAACATAATAATTATTATTTAAATAGAAAAAAATAATAGAATTTATATGTTAAATTGTCAATATAAAAAGTAATAAAGACATTAACAAAACAAATGACGTTAATATTTCTCCGCATCTATATATTAACGACTATTTTAGCTTTCAGCATTTGATTTAATATTAGGCATGTCACGTTATATGTAGCATAGCACCAAAGCTATGTTTAAAATAAAAGTCCACACTAGAGAACAACTTCCCTTGTATAAATTTTAATTCTAAAATTCAACTGTTTTCTTTTTATAATAAAAAAGGATATATGAGACCCAAGTGTTGGATCACCTCTCGAGGCTACTCTCGTTCAGTTAGGGTTCGTTTAGTTCGTTGATTTGAATTTTTAATTCGAGTTGAGATATAACTTTTTACTGTAGCAAAAAAGTTAGATGTAACTGTTTCTGAAAGTTTTTTAATGTAATAAAACTCAAATTCTAAACTCAAATCGGTGAAATGAACAGAGCCTTAGACACTTAAAGGCAAAACAGAGGATCAAGCCACAAGGCTACAGAGTTCAAGATTTGAATATGAAATTAAATTTAATTGATGTATACACTTACATTACAGGGACAAGAGTAATCAGTTTCTTTTACTACATTTCCTTTACGAAACTTGCGCATATAACATTAACACTTGTTTATTCTTGGCAATGCGTAGGCCTATAAACTGACCAATCTCAAGAATCACGACTCAAATAAACATAACGCATGGATCACAACTTACGCACTCTTCTTTTGCCCTTTATTATTTTTTTAATAGTTGTTGCTTTGGCATAATTAGATGGACATAACTGGCTAATCAAAAGAAGCATCCAGATTACTCTATCATCATCCGACCAATCAAAAACCATAACATGATCTGATGGGCCATCGATACAACAAAACAACTAGTAAAGGGACAGGGGGCCCCACAGCACAATCCCTAGAAGTCGTCACCGTCGTAACCAATATCATCCTCCACTCTCTCCGCCACGTCATCAGCGATCTTGTCCTCTACGAAATCAACACCCTCCACAAGCGCGAGTCCACCCAACGCCCCCGCTACGGCACCAACAGCCAATCCCGTCCCCATTCCTCCGAACTTACTCTTCTTCTCCTCCGCACGGCCGTACACCGGCTCTCCGTACCCTCCCTGTCCATACCCCGGCTGTCCATACGGCTGTGGCGGCGCACTGTACGGATTATACGGATATCCCGATGGCGGAGCCGCGGCGGCGTAGTAAGGATCGCGCGAAGGAGGAGGCGGAGCCGAAGCGGCGTAGTAAGGATCGCGCGGAGGAGGCGGCGAAACCGAAGCATAGGGGGCGCCACCGTAGGCCGGCGGTGGGACACCGTAAGGAGGCGCGCTGTACGGATCCGGCGGACGATAGTACGGCTCCCTCACGGAGACCTTAACCTCCACCTTCCCCTGGGGCCTTCCAGAAGGTCGTTTCATCTGCAAAGTCCGCGTGGCGCGCTCTCCGTATCCCACGTCATCGACGACCTCCCGAAGCTTCAGCCGGGCAGACCCGATCAGCCTCTTTGTGTCGGGTTCGGATCCAGCGTGGACGATATCGATGTAGAGAGTCGTGGAGTCGTCTATCGGCGTTGGGAGAGGGATGGTCAGAGTCTCGTCCCAGTTCGGGTTAGTGTCGCCGGACTCGTCGACCCGGGTGGAACATTTGATATTCGGGTCGACCCAAACGACGGCGTATGGCCTCACCGGGCCATGGCGCCAGTTCACGTTCTTCAGGTCCTTGGCGGAAGAGAGCTTCACCTCTACTTCGTCGCGCGACGCCATTTGAACGACAAGAAAAGAGTGGTCGTTTGAGGATGTCTGATTTGATTGTCAAGTTTCACACCAGTGGTATTTATAGTACCACGGAACGGATGGATACAATATTACGAAATCGCCCTGCGAGGAATGTTCGTCTGCGGAAGGACGATTGTGCCCTTGATATGATTTCGACGGTGGGAGATGATGGAAGGGTAGTTTGGTAAAATAGGGACTGGTGGGTTATTTACATCTGGGGAGAGAACAATCTAGGGCAGGTAGATAAATGGTGAAACTAGGGAGGAGATAGCTGAGATAGCTTAGCAATTAAGCACAATAATATAAATTGCTTTGTTCGGTGTGCCACTTGACAAGTGTCAGTTTTCTTATCAGAAATGGGAGGTTTGCTAATTGGTGTGACCGGATACTGCCCGTTGATAGTTTGACTCAAAGGAAGATAATATTTGTGATATATTTTTGAAGGGACATAGTTGTGATATTTGATATGCAAGGTTAGTCCCATTAAGGGAATATTCTTATAAATGGAGAGTAATGGGCGAGTTAGGTTCTACACGCACACGGAGTGTACGCGGCCGAAGTTTTGGACCTTCTAGCAAGCCCATCTTCTTATTATTATTGGGCCCTACATCTTTTGGGCTATCTAAACTACAGTTCCTTGGGAGGGCCAGAGGCGGAGACCCAATTGTTTTTTCAAAACGTTGTTCTAATTCTCAACGAAAGCATAATATAAAGACGCTCTAATTCATCAGCATAACATACATTTCTTTTTTTATTATTGTTCGACGCTAAATTCGAGCTTCGACATTTTGAATGTGACTGTGAAACTTGACTAAGAATCAGTTGCCAAAAAAAAAAAAAATCTTGAAATTTTGGAAAAATTTGAGAAAAAAGTTGTCAGAAGTGGGATTTGAACCCACGCCCTCTTTCGAGGACCAGAACTTGAGTCTGGCGCCTTAGACCACTCGGCCATCCTGACTGTTGGATGATGGTTTTCAAAATTAAATAATACAATGAAAAAGTAATGTGGGGGGCATTACAAATTAACTCATGGAAAAGCATTCTCGAAGAATAGTGCAGTGCGTTTAATTACAATGGGGGAATGAGAATGATAATGGAATAGAATAGAAAAGAAAGATAGTTTATTTGTTTAGTTCTACTTTTACAAATGCAATGAAATGAGATATGAATATTTTTATGTTGACAAAATTACCCCTCATGCTAATATAACTAATATCATATATATTAATATAATCATTTAATAACTAATATTATATATATATAATTATAATTATAGTTATATAATATTTATTATTATTATACAATCATAATTTATAATATAATAAAATAATGTTATTTTGATTATTTTATATTATAATGTTACAACTATACCATATTATATTATTAAAAATATAGTATGATTATAAAAATATAAAAATATAATATAACGTATTATAATTATAATATATAATATAGTATATTATCATTTCTAATTATAGCATATTATCTATTATAATATAAATTTATATTGTAATTATACAAATACTTAATTATAATATTATAAAATATAGTAGCTGATTATAATTATAATATTATATATTTAAAATAATAAAATCCTAATTTTTATTATAACTATCATATTATTAACGAAAACATCACATATATATTCTATAAAATAAAATAAAATAAAATAATATTATGCATAAAATATACAGTTATTATATTTAATTTTATAGAAAATACTACTATCCCAATTATTATTATAATTATTTATTACAATATCACAATTATATTATATTATATTATAATGATAAATATAATAATAATAATAATTAATTACAATATGACGATTATATTGTATATTACATTAATGATAAATATAATTACAATGTATAATATATAATATAAGATATTGTTATAATATTAAATATGATATATTATAATATACGTATATAATTATAATATATTATTATGTTATAAGATATAATTACATTATAATATAATATTAATTATATCATAATATTTATAATTATAATATTTAAGGGTAATGATAGGAAAGAAAATTAAAAGAGCTTGGAATGAGCATTCCTCTCATATGCAGAAGGAATGATGATTCACCCATTTGATGGAAAAGTCATTCTATTTTAAATGGCCATTCCTTTTACTAAAACCAACCAAACATAAGAATTAACCTTAATTCATTTCCATTCCCCCTAACTAAACACACCCTTATATATCAATCTCAATAAATAATAAAAACGGAATTGCGTCACTTTCTGGAGGGCGTAGAATAGATGAGTGTGTTTGCCAACTTACGCTTTTACTTTGCAATTTGGCAATTGCATTAATGTTGAACCCTCATATCTCAATAATATTTCATTAGCTACTAAATTTTCACTGTTAACAACTAGGAAGAGTTAAACCAAATCCACTCAAAAATGATTAAGCTAACAAGCACGATGGTTAGCTTTTTGTCCAAAAACGACTCAGATCTATTTGCTACCAAAACAACTATTAAGGAAGATCTTTATTCTTATGCCAGTCAAACATTAATATACAATCATGCATCCATGATCTTATCGTTGATCTCTTGGCCACCCCACTTCCGCATGCGTTCTGTGGTTTCTTCCACCTGCCAAAAATCAAAATTAATTTTATTTTTTTTCAGCACATGGGAGAGAATTGTGTAATATGGAAAGATGTATTGAGATTCTCAACATGGAAATGACACAATTTGAATACATCCATTACAAATTAAACACAGAGGTTAGAGACTTGCCTCCTTGTTCCAGCTGGTTTTGTAAAGTACAATCATGAGCAGCAAGGTTTGTAGACCGGTTCCACATATCATGCCTCCCCAAACTCCCTTTAATTAATAACAAAATTTGTTTGCATCAAAATTTTATTGGTAGCATGTATTGAAAAAAAGCGTCATACTGTCACTATTGGTGTTGATTATTATAAGTAATAGAGCGGGAGACTCACATCCTTATATCTTGTGCACTCATCAAATTTATATAAAAACATAATAATATGTACGCACCCTTATGTCTTGTGAACGCATAATATGTATATAAGAATAAATAATAACGTGTACAAAAAAAAAAAAAGTCGTTAATTCAAGGACCACTTACATTTACTCCAAGGTTTGCTGTATACCCAAGAAGGAAGCCTAATGGCAGTCCAAAAATGTAGTAAGAACCCAAGTTGATATAAGCCACTAGTGCTTGCCAGCCACCTCCAATAGCAACGCCTGCAAATTTTGACAAGAAAAAACCCAACATTTAAGGTAATTAATTAATGGGACCGCAATAACTTAATGGTCTTTAAACTTCTTGTTGGCAATTTATGGTAACGTGTATAACATGTTACCTGAGATCACGGGTTGGACGCTATTGAGAATCATAGTGACGCCTAAAAGATATGCAAGGTGAGACACGGCTCGGCGCACTTCCTTGCTACTTGTGAAGATGATCGCAAAATTGTCTTTGGTTATCAAAATCAAGACGGTGAAAAGAAGCCCGATTAGGAGAGACTGAAGCAACGTCACATAGACCGAATATTTGGCTGCCACTGGACGCCTCATTCCTAACTCATTGGAAACACGGACGCTGAAAATTAAACAGAAAAGAAAAAGTTCATCTAAGGATAATACTTTTTATTAATGCTTTCAAAAAAGTCATATATGTTTTATGTATTTATCATAATTATTAGGCTTACGGATTCATGAAAAATAAACTTTTAATGTTAAAATAATTTGAGAGTGACAAGAATGTAATGCTAGAATGAAAAAGTTTAACAAGTCAACCAATATCAATTAAATGTCAAATTTTAATATATGTTATACTTGGAGTCAAGTTTGATAAGGAATATATTTATATGTTAAATATAACATAAAAAAAAATAGCATTATGATGGAGATTAATTTTCCTACTTTTGATGCTAAAAATTTGTCAGACACTTATTGGGATGCTCTAAGAGTTTATATCAATCTTGCCTCACGTAGCATCAGTACCTGATGGCAGCATTTATTCCGAAGAACAACATGGCTTCCCATCCATTGAGATTCATGCTGAAACACACGGAAAATGAAACTAATAAGTCCACAAATTTGCAAATAAAGAACAAGAACATTCTAGTATTTAAAAAAAAAAAAAAAACATTTTAGTTTTTAAAAAAAAAAAAAAACATTTTAGTTTTTAAAAAAAAAAAAAAACATTTTAGTTTTTAAAAAAAAAAAAAAACATTTTAGTTTTTAAAAAAAAAAAAAAACATTTTAGTTTTTAAAAAAAAAAAAAAAACTGCTTGTGAATTGTGATCTTACCAAACGGACAGCGAATCAACAGCAATCACAGCATTGTCAAGATGTCCAGTGAGGATAATAATGCTCATCATGTACCAAACCTCAAGGCAAAGCATAACAGCGGAGGCAAGAGAGAGCCTAACAAAGGCCCAAATATCCTTAAAAGCATTCCATGAGAAACCACTCCAACCCTCATTGCACCACCCAATGACATAAACAACTTGGGCAGCCGCAATCAGCCAACTTGTGAGGTCAAAGGCCACTGCAGCCCCAGCCAAGCCCCAGTTGTAAAAGTAGATGAATAGCCAAAGCATTCCGACGTGCAGAATTAGCCCGATGAATCCGATCCACGCGAGGGCGTTGACTTTGCTCTGGGCTTGGAGGAACTTTTGAGTTGGGAAACTGATGGCTAGTGAGAATAGCTGAGGGATAACTAGGACGGTGAAGTTTCCAGCAAGATCAGCTACTTCATCAGCCTGGCCAAAGAGCTTCAGAATTGGGGCGGCGAATATGTAAATTGGCAAGAGGATGATGCAGCTGCTTAGTAATATGATCCATGATCTTTGCATGTAGATCCCAAGCATTTTGACTTGTCCTGCTCCAAAAGCTTGCCCACATAGTGTCTCTAGTGCACTTCCCATGCCCAACTACAACATTTTTTGTTTTGATCAAGATTAGGATCTCATTTGTTTTTCTAGAGAATCGGAGTTAGTCTAATAATTGAAAGATTAAAAATGAAACTGAATTGAAAGTAAAAATGAAAAACTGATTGCTGAATTAAGTTTTTATTTTAGTCATGTTTGTTTCTTTGGAGAATTGTTTTAGAAAGCCCAGCAGGCTGTTTAGTTTTGCCCATAAATAGTATCAGTTCATATATATATATATATGCATATTTTTTGAAATTTTCTACCGACTTTAAACGAGAGAATGCGAGATTCAAAATTCAACTTAACACGCCCAGATAAGAGTGAGTTATTAAATTATTTTATACGAAACTAAATACAAAACATACATAGCATCTCTGAAGAAATCAAGATTAAAAAAAACTAATAATTATAATCATGTTTTTTTTTTTCCCACAAAGAATCAAGAAAGAACTCGTTTTTTCGCAATCATGTCTCTACTAGAAAGCAGAATAGAGGAGATTCAAAATTCAAAGCTTGAAAATTTTAATTAACAAAGTTCGAAGAATTAAACGCTAAACAATCAAGACAGAAAATCTTGTTAAGAGCATTGTTTTCAGAAACGTCAAGAAGAAAGAATACACACAACTTATAAGTCACCAAGTCAAACGAAAACATGATTATTCGAATTTTTCGTTTGGAACAAAGAGTTTACTACGTGATTATAACATTCTTCATAACTCGATTACGTGAAAAATATTGAAATATGAAGAGAGAGAGAGAGAGAGAGAGAGAGAGAGAGAGAGAGAGAGAGAGAGAGAGAACCATGAAGCCGAAAGAGAAAGTGCCAATGACGGAGAGAGAGAGGGTGACGGCAGAGAGCTCGAGCTCGCTGATATGGCCGACGAAGATGCTGGTGACGGAGTTGATTCCGTAGTTGCAGAGAATAGTGCAACCGATGGGCCCTGCAATTTTCCACATCTTCACCGTCTCCTTCCAGAACACCTTCCTCGCCTCCCCCACGCTCTCAATCGGCGCGTAGTCTTCCTCGCCGTCGCCGTTCGCCGCCAGCAATGGCGCCTCCATTACGATTAGAGTACAGATTGTACGCACGCTACTTTGGTAATTCGATGAAAATAAGGTTGTTGAATCAGCGCTCTAGATTTTCGCTCTCTCTCCGTAATATCTATAGTGGTCGCATTCACCTATACCACCTTTTGTTTTGTTTTTATTTTCAAGTTTGTTGGTTGGTTTGCAATCTTTATCTTTATGTTATAATAGGAGGAGACGTATTTAGCCCCAACACAACACAATACATTCGCTGGTTCAAACTTCAAATCCAACGCTCCAGGTTCAAAATTTAAAGTTACACCGATAAATATGAATATATAGGTAATACAAGTGCGCACATAAAACGAGTTTTTAATGATTACATCAAATATAAAAATTTGAATGTTTTAATAATATTTTAAATAAAAATTTAAAACTTTAATTAAATTTATTATGGACTAATTTTGATTATTATATTTAAATATTATCCTCTAATATATGGCTCTTATATACCATACTTAAAATCACATAAATAATCGTAAAATTTTTAATGATATTCATAAAGTATATAACAATATATGCATATAAATAATGAATTTTCTATTTTATTAATTAAATAATAAAATTCAAAATCACATCTCGTGCTTTTGGACACCATTCCCAGTAGATCTCTTGACCGGCTATCTCCCTTGACAGCTCATTGGCCAGTTGCCCTTCACCGGAGGTTTCTAATAGCGGCGGTCGGAGGGTTTTTTTTTCTGATGTAATTTTTATGTTTGTAATAAGGGCAATGGTCTCCCCACCCGACCCACTTTTATTTTGCTATTTGTTGTTAGTTTTTAGTGATCAGTTTAGGCTGTTTGTATGTATCTTATTAGGGTTGTCTTGGTCCGACTAGAATTTTTTCTATGCCATGTAGATGTCCCCTTTTTGTGGGGTTTGGCAATCTGTCCCTCCAGCGCTCGAAAGCTTATCTCGATGAGAGGGGTTTTTTCAACTCGAGCTTTATTTGTGCTAGCTCGTTAATAGGTGTTCTCCCATTTTCAGGCCTCAAGCGTGCGTCCATCCTTCTAATAAATCATTAGTATTATACCGAGATGACTATTTATCAGTTTTTAATTAAATACAATTTTCCTTTAAAAAAAGTTGAGAATTTTAATATTTATAACAATAATCTTATTGCATTATTTTTTTAGAGAGATATTTATAGCGGAGAACAATTATCTTATATACATTTAAAAAAAAAAAAAAAACAGTTATCTTTTGTTTCTTTCTGTTTTATTAAATAAGCTTTCCAAAATATAATTAATTTTCTATAATTATTCGCTAATGGTCTGTCATGAATGTCATTGGTCCACATTTGTAATGAATATATGAATTATGAATGGTTGATCTGCACGAGGTTGGTAAGATGGTTGGCACATGATTGTGCACGTCAGCAAATCATGTACTGATTTTTTTGAGCACAAGAAACTTTCTGAGGACAAACTACTTCAACAATTGATTTCAGAACACCAATTGACTCTCTGTTTCGAATCGCAAAATTCCTTGTTGACTCCATCTCCGACGACACATTGTCCTCGCTCGGATAAACAAGGATTGATGCATCACAACCCTGCATTTGCCAAGAACATTAGATAAGCTTAAATATTTGATCAGTTATTCTTTGGTATGGTTAGCGATGACTAATAGTACATGTATAAGTAATGTAGCTATTCATAACACAGATAAAACGATAATAGATACGTATTAAGACAAACGACAGATAAATAATAAAATAAAGTTAAATTAACAGACTAATAATAAAAGGATATTGCCCTCGCAGAAGAGTGTTTAGGTCATGAATTCCTATCATTCATGACCGCTTCGGTCTGCCAAAGTCTTCTGCAATGACATTGTCTTCGCAAAAGAGTGTTTGGGTCAAAAAGCCCTGCCATTCCTGACTGCATCAGTCTATCAAAGTCACACCCCATTATTCGGCGAGGACGTTTGTCCTCGCTGAATCCTGTAAAAAAAATGTCCCGCCTTATCTTAAGTTTGCAGTAGTGAAACAATATTGTTTCATTGTTGTAACGCTTTCTGCGAGGATGCTCGTCCTCGCGGAAGGCCCTAATATGTTCAAAACATAACATATTTGCTCAGAGTTTCTCCTTCTTCGTTCTTTTCTCTTTCTCTGTTATACCAGAGAGAAATCCGGACGGCAAATGTGCCTACCTCTTTGCAAGAGACCCTTGTAGGACATTTTTATTCCTTCTCTCTCTCACTTCTTCAACTCTCTCATCCCTCCTTTCGTTTGCTCTATATCCGACCATAATGCCCCGGATAGGACAGCCCTATCCGCGCACAGGACAGCCCCATCTGCGCACAGCACAGCCCCATCCGCGCCCAGGACAGTCCCATCCGCGCTCAGGACAGTTCTATCTGCGCTCAGCACAACCCTATCCGCAGCCAGGACAGTCATATCCGCGGCCAGGACAGCCCCATCCGCGCCCAGGACAGCCCCATCCGCGCCCAGCACAACCCTATCCGTGGCCAGGACAGCATCGCACGCGCCCAGGACAGCCCTATCCGCGGCCAGGACAGCCTCATCCGCGGCCAGGACAGCCCCGCGCGCGTCCAGAACAGACCAGACATTGCCAGTGGACTCCAATTGAGCTCGAGAGTTTTCGAAACCCTCGTTTTGCGTGCCAAAGGACCCGGAAGAGTTTCAAGCCCCGAAAGAGGTGGAATCCGACCTGAAGACGAAGAACGAAGCCAAAGAATGAAGAATTCAAGAATCGAAGACCCGTTGATATAACATAAGAAAATAATTATTGTAATTATTTATTTATTTGATTTGGTTGTAATTTATATTTTCCATGAGACCTGGTCAAATCCATCTCAATAGCCGATTGTAAATATTTATATTTTATGTTGATAATTATATATTATATGTCCATGCATATAACATGCCATATAGATATAGTGTGCCTACTCATATGTTTTGTAACATGTCATGCATACACGCGCATTTATTATTATTTATTATAAAAGAGTTTTAGAAAAATAAAATAAAATAAGCACCATGCGCTAAAATTGATTTAATATGATTAAATTGATTTAAGTTGCAAAATTGATTTACAAAATAATGTTATATGTGAAATTAAATTTAAGAGTTAAATTTTAGAATTTCACATATCCGAAAAATAAATTGTTTATTTATCGGGATTTGAAAAACACGAGATGATTTTCAAATAAAATACATATTTACAAAATAATGAGTGGGAGAGGGTTGAATGACAATACGACCCACTGGTCTCCATCGTTAGTTCAACACCGTGAGATTTGAAAGGGGCTTCGCGGCGGCACCGATTCCGTACTCCCTACGGAAAGTGTTCTTCATAACAAGGTTGACTTCCTAGCGATAGGATTCAAGGGTGTATTTTCGGTTTGACCTACCCTACGGCGGCACTCCAAAGTTAAGTATTTAGAATCTAAAATGATGGGTTACACTCATGGAAATATAATCAATTTACTGATTATATTTTTGACCAAAATAACAGTAGTTGATAAATATGAAAATATGAGATATTTTGAATATATTTATTAATTGCGAAGGTCTCGGTTCGATTTGCGAATATTTTGAGCTACCCTACGGCGGCACTATATTCGTGAAAAATTGGACTATCGTTGGCACCTAAAATTAAAACATGATTTATGTATTTCTCATGTGCATCATGCATCATATTTAATTGCGCTAAAAATTCACATGCCTTGATATTCATGCACATAAATTGATTAGATGAATATTCTACTTATTTCCAATATGCCAAATCCTATAAACTCACTACATGAACTAGAAACACTAACTAGAGATAAACTATGCGAAGTGGTAAAGTAACATAAACAACTCACATTCATGTGATGAATATAAGTTTGTCCCAAATGGAGGATTGTCCTCATGTCCCTAACGAAACCACTGTAGCTAACTGTTAGCTAGGGTTATGCGTGGTAATTCATAAGAAATATGAAGGCATGGAAACAGCTTATGAGATTATGCAGTCATTAGACACCATATATGAAAATCCATATAAGAAAGGCTTGGCTAAATACTGTAAGAGCCCCGACCAAAAGACAAAGGGAAAATCGTTTCCACCAAAATAAAGGAAAAGAATCAAGCGAATATGATTTCCTAAGTTCTGAAAACATGTTTAGTAAAGGGTGATTCCTATTCCTGGATAGTGGATTCGGGAGTTACTACTCATGTTTATTTTCTTTATTATGTCTTAGCTGTCACAAGGAAAAACGTCTCCACTGAAATAAAGGAAAAGAATCAAGCAAATACGATTTGCTAGTTCTAAAAACATGTTTTAGTAAAAGGGTGATTCCTTATCCTAGATTGTAGATTCAGGAATCACTAATCATGTTTGTTTTCTTTAAGTCTCAGCTCTTACTGTGGAAGTCTGTCTTGACTAGGAGCAATACCCCTTTGACTCTGCGGTAATTGATGGGTCTGTTGGTTCACCAGTTGGCCCCTGATAGGACAGTTCCTCTTGATATGCCCTAGCTCCCCACAATGGTGGCACTTGAAGCTATAGGATCCACTCTTCCCACTTCCCGAAGAGCCACTGCTACCACTAGGCACTCCCCTACTACCTTGCCCTTGATCACGGCTTTTTCTGTTATTCCTTTGAGGTCCTCCTGAAGTTTTCCCTGAAATTGCTCGATCCTGGAGGAAGACGAAGTGCTCTTGTTCAACAGAGATGGCTGCTGCAACCAAGTCACTATAAACTCGATGCCTTAAAGCTACCACTGATTTTTGGATTACACCCTTAAGACCTTTCTCGAACTTTAGGCACTTCATGTGCTCCGATTCAATCAAGGAGGGAGCAAAACGGGACAGTTCATTGAACCTTGCCTCGTATTCCCGCACTGTCATTTCCCCTTGTTGTAGGCCCATGAATTCCATGGCCTTTTCATCTCGATAACTTTGGGGAAAGAATTGCTCATTAAAGAGCGCTTCGAATTATTCCCAAGTCACCCCTTCTACATCTTGCATTCGCCGGATATGCTTCCACCATGCACCTGCAGGACCTTCAAACTTAAAAGCTGCGAACTCCACCCAATACTCATCCGGTACTCCCATGGTACTTAGATGCTTAGACACCGATTCGAACCAATACTCAGCTTCCTCGGGTCCACCCGCGTTAGTGAATACAGGAATTGAACTACGCCTGTACTCATGGAAGTAGTTCTATTTTCTGTCCTCCGTGGGACGTTCATTTTGGGCTCTAGTAGCCATCCCTTG